GGATAATGAAAATAAAAAACATGGTTTCTGTTCAATTTCTTTTTGACAAACTTCTGATAAAATTATAGTTTACCTCTGCTAGGATATGGGAGAGATGCCAGAGAAGTTACAATGATTTTTTTAAATAATGAAATTACTAATTAGAGGCTCCCAGCTGACCTTCCTGTTACTGCTGTGTGATTAGCTTAGCTGTTGACAAACACATGCTTCCTTGGGGAGATTCTTGAGTAAGTCAGTTTTACGTATGTATTTTTTTGTGCATGTGGCAGATTGATTCCTTTTTCCTCTTACAGTAGCATGCCATTGTTTCCTGCAGTAGAAGGAGGGCAGTTTTGGAGCACGGGCAGTATAACTCAAGGAAGCAGTCAAAAGGAAGGTGGTGTGGTTTGGGGTAATGTTTGAGAAATGCTGAGGCCCCTTTTGTTTTAAAAGCAAATGCAGTGGTGAAGACATGGGAAGTACAATGGATTTTCATTACATTCATTGTAGAAGGTAATTGTCCATAGGTCATAGTGTCTTAAGAACACAGTGGTGTGACTAGTTTTGGAGACGTTAATTGTAAATATACTTTTAAATTAGTATTATTTTAAAAGAAATAGATCAATTTGTTGTTTATTCAAATTCCAGAATATCACAACAGCTTTTTTTACAGAGGAATTTTTTAGCACAACTTGGAAAAAAATTGATTTCTTAATGAAAACTTGGAATGCTAGACCAGAGAGCTCAGCTGCCACTGTTCTGCAGGTGTGCATGTACTGCAGAGGATATTATGTGAACAAGTTGCTAACCTTGTAAACCTCCCTCCTGTTTACAGAAATTGAGGCCTCATTATGTCAGGAAGAAGAGAGAAGTGTTTTGTTTGAGGTTCACCAAATTTAAACACACATCATCATCAGTGTGGGCTTTACCTCTGACATGTGGCCATGTTTGCAGTCTCTGCTGTTTTATAGCTATCCCATTCTAGTCCTTTGCTTCCTCACCTAGATGCTGTTAGTATAATTTTGGGGAACTTTTGCTCCCTCAGTTTTCTACCACACTCTCTCAATCTATATTCAGCTCGAGATCAAAATAAGACTACCAAATGTCTGTTTTTCCTTTCCCCCATTATTTTTATCATAGATTCTGTTGTGATGAGGGAGCAGTATCAGACAAGCCAATCTGAGGATTTTTTTTGTCAATGTTTGTTTTTCATTTTTCTTCTTCAGTGTCCATAAACTAACTGATTTTGGGGTTTTTTGCCTGATACCCAAGACAGTCTTAGGCGTTCCTTCAGAAAAACAAAATTCTCATTTGTTTGCTGTCATCTTGTATCTCAAGACCCACCTCCCATTTTCCAGACTTCTTCCAATTCAGCAGTTTTTAGTTTCATCAGGCTGATTTTCTACATAGTGCATCATATCAGCTACTAGTCTGGTGCTGCTCAGTGTTCATAGCTGTGTCTACCTTGTGCATCGTGTTCCTTGTATAGCTATTGTGTTATCTTTATCTTTAATTGGACAGTGATGGGTTCTTAGTACCCCATTTGTTGTACTTTAAAATAAAGCCTTTGGGTTTTCTGTTTTGCTGCTATGTGTGCTGCAGGGAAGGTGGGGCTATCATATCATCTTCCCTAATAAAAGAGAAGTAAAGGCCTGTCTTGGCAGAGGGATTTCACACAAAGGCAGAAAGATAAAGTAAATAGCAATATGCTCTTAACAATCTATTTCAGGTGAGATTATAGTTCTTATTTTCATAATTGAAAGTTGTAGATAATATGCACAATTTCTTGTGTGTCTTATTTATAAACTCAGTTTTACAACTCCATTTTCTCACAGCTGTACTTTTGCCAAGGGCCCTCATCTCTTCCCTGAAGCCTAATTCCTAAGGTTACCATCAGTTCTGGCTTGCTATGTGTGCATGCAGCTCTGCAGACTGGAATTGAATTCCCTGCAGTGCTCGGTGTGATCTGTACCAGACCATCACTACAGAGTAGGCTGGAGGCTGGCATAATAGATTGCTCAAGTTACATCCCGCATGGATTTTGAGACAAAGTTAAAAATTGAGGCTCTTCCATTATAGTGGTGTCACTCAGCCTTTTCCTTCCCTTCTTCTTGATTCTCCCTCATCCCTGGGGTACTGTCCCTGTTGGGTCTCTATCTAGGCTGTTGGTTAGAGTGTGATCTGGTTTAGGTTGATGACTGAAGTTGACACTGAGAAACTTTGATCAAGAGATTTACCAAAAAAGCTCAATGCCTGTTGCCTTGAAGAATCTCTCATTTTGTACCAAGATGTGGACATTACTGCCAGTTTGGTCTTTTGTGTATAAAAAGAATCATAAAGCTACTACTCTTATGGGCTGTGTCTGTCTAAACAGGGATTCCTCTAAATGTAGAATTGAAAATTTAAATTTAAATCCCTTCCTTTAATGGAATATACAACTCATGTTCATTCATTCCATGAGAAGAGTCAGGCAATCCAGTGAGGAGGAAAGAAGGCTAAATTGTTGCCTTCAGTGGGAAATCATCAGCTCAGTAAGAGGGGCTTTCTACCCAAGCAAGCAAGTGCCTGTGCCAGAGACAGATCTCTTGTCATCATGTTGCCTGAATGAGCTGCAGGATGGCTGCTGAACCAGGCGTGATGGAAGGAGGAGAATTGAAGAAAACTCTGGCAGAACACTGAACAGTACATGGGTTAAAGGCTTTAGTGGGCTGAGAACAGAGCAAAGGTGAAGTTAGAGTCAATTTTATAGGCATGGAAATACACTGAATTAATTTGGTTTAGATGAATAAATAATTTTTTTTTTTTTTGGGAAAAGGAATGGGAAGATGTGAAGAAGCTGTTGTTGAAGAAAACAGAAAAATATAACTAATATATAAACTGGTTTTTTTTGTTCCTAATTCACCTTACACTTGCTTTTTCAGAAAAGCTTCATTCTTCCTTAAGACCAAAACAAGCTGTTTACTTTAGTTTTTATTTTTGTGTTCTAAATGCAAGATCTTCATGGTCATGCAGCTCTTCCCCTGACTTAACAGTGTGGGGATTTTTGTTGCTTTTTAAACCTATGGACTCCAGATGCAGAAGGATGTGAGAATGTATTATTTACATGGTAATGGAGGCTTTTTTTCCTGATGCAAGAAAGAAAGTCAAATATTTAGCTGAATGAATACTACATATCTGTTGAGAAGGCTGAGGCAAATAGACTTTCTGTTGGTCTCTGCGGTGGCATCTTCCTACTTCTACCCTTTTTATTCAATATTTTCCTTGTAATTTAGAACAAGTTAATCTGTTCTCTGGTATTTGCTCATCTGAACAGCTGATATCTCATTTGGTCAGGTGTGCAGGTAAGGATTTATGGAAGACAAGGGCTATGGTATCTCTTCCTTGATTGCCTGGCGCTGGTGTAGATTAGTGTAGAGTGTTTCCATTTATCAGAGCAGCCTGTTCTCCCATCATAGCCAGCCTCAGGATCTGTCACTGAGGTAATTCTGCTTGTACCCAGGGAGTTCACTGATCAGCTTTGGAGAGAAACAGTTAATGAGAGAGGAGGGAACTTCTGGTAACCACTATTTGAAAGACTGTTCATAAATTTATATAAAAATGATTTTGATATTTGACTATGAACAACCTTTTAAAAATGTGTTCCATGTGCATTGATGTTTGAGCTTTGTTGCTAAAACCTTGGTTTTCAGTAAGTTAAAACAAAAGATGAAGTTTAAGATGTTCATGATAACAAAGAACCCCCACAACTTTCTATATCATCAGTTAAGGAATTGTTTGTTGTTTACCCTGTTTCCCGTATTTTTAAGTACAAGAAATGTCTTGGGTTTTTTCCTGTGTAAGAAATCAGTTGATTTTTATTTTGGTAATGTTCAAGTAACATTCTTTTCATGGTTGGTTTCTCATGCATATCATTAATGTTTCAGGTTAGGCATGCAAATACTCTGAAAATTGATCCAGGAAGAAGTAATAAACTCTTTTTAACTGTTAATATTTTCATTTTTAAAAGATGTATTGATTTTTTGGGGGGAGCAGGGTTTTTCTTAAGTGATGCTGCTTATCTGATAATTTCAATCCTAGTTGAATTATGTTGCCAGATTGTCATCAGAAGGGCATGAAGTCAGCACACATGCGTCAGTAATATCTGGTTGTTTTAACCTTATGTTTCCAGTTGGCAATTTGAAATTATGGCTTCAACTGCACTTTAAATATGTGATAATAGCATGTGTTTCTAATAAGGGCCAGCACCATTTTGTTCAGATCCTGTGAATGGTTGTCACTCATATATGACAAATGCACCTTCATCTGCTTCTTTGATGGCCCCCTAAAAACCATACCCTCAAATCAGGCCGATGAAATTAGCTGCTGTGTAAATTGTGTGTCTGAGTGGTTCATTATCTAATCACCGTCAGAACCACAGTGATAAAGTAGATTGAAACAGGGACAAGGTCTGCCAGATGATTTCAGGCCTTTTTTTCTAAGCCCTGTTTCCCTTGGAAACACTAAGAGTCATTCATAACTTCAGAATTCTTTGTCTAGAACTTCTTCATTTCTTAATGTGTAAAATTGGGCAGCCAGTGAGGTCTGCCAAGGTGATTTGAAAGGTTTTCTCTCCATGATTCTTGTAATCATTATTGTGTGTATTAAAATGTTCCACAATGTTCATTTTAGCTACCCTGTTTGCTACTTCTAGGTTAGATATTGCTAAACACACCAGCTATTTTCAGGAAACTGCTCCAGCCTATTCCTTTGTAGGAGAAACTCTTAAATTCTCAGTAAGTCCTGTCCTGAAATGGCAAAGTGCTTTGTATATACAGAGAGGGAGCTTTGGATCCTGGAGTTGATATGTAAATTAACATACTAAACCAGTATAATATAAAACATTGCACAGGACATTTGTACATGGGCAGGATGACCATGTGGCTTTTCAATTTCAAACATTTTTGACTCATTATAGTATGTTCTAAATATAAATTTCTTGTCTTTTTAGCTTAATAGGTAATTTAAGTTTTCTTTTGTTTTAGGAGCATTTGAAGATGATGATATCACTCATGTTGAAGGAAGTGTAGATCCTGTTCGTGACATCGAAATTATACATGAAGAACTTAGACTTAAGGATGAGGAGCTGATCATGCAGAGCATAGATAAGCTTGAAAAAGTAGCTGTAAGAGGAGGAGACAAGAAATTAAAACCTGAATATGTAAGTATATGACATTTAAAGTAAATCATTAAGTCCTCTCAGCATTGAACTGAAATATTTGTATTTCTTATTGATCCCACGTGTGTAATACAAAACACTACTACTATTTTTATATGTATTTTAAAGTAATTATTATTATGAGCTGAAAAAAATACTAGAATGACTGGCTGTGCTGTCAGTGTAAGATTTCATAGATGTAGCTAATTGTAACTTTTGAAATTTTGCTGTTATTTTCTTGCTGACTCAGCTTTGTATGAGACTTGCCAATACTTTGTCTAACTTACATCAAATGTTTAAGTTGTAATTCAGAGTTACTTCTGACTTATTTCTACTGTTAAGTTCTACTATGACGTTGATATTAGTATTCCTGTAGCCAGCAAGTGAATGGATTTTTTTGGTGTGATTGCACTTTGTGTCTTTTAGTGCATGTTAAATGAAGACTGCTAGTTGAAAATAATTTTAGAATGTTGTTGTGGAAGGCTGCTTAAATGAGCTCAATTATCACAGGATAATAGTGATGTTTCTTTGTAAATTATTAATGTATAATAATTATCAACTTCAAAGTATATTTTCTGCAAATTGTTGTTTTACTGCCACTTGTCTTTTGAGTCTCCTACACTTTCCCAGTAGTCATTCATTTTTCTTTGTCATTAATATTCTATAAATATTTTAGGTGGTATATAAAATGCATTCTCTAATTATTACAGCAGTTTATCAGTGTGGAAATAGATTATTTATGTGTAGCAAGTATTTAAAAAAATACTGTTTTCTCAGAAGGGTTTTTTGATAGCAAGTAGAAAGAAAAACATTGTTATATTGGTGCTGCCAGGTTAATTTACTAATATTGAAGTGCAGTGAAATTTGTTGACCCTGCCTAGTGTCTGCAAACAGATAGGAGCTGAAAGTGAACATCCCTCTCCAAGATAGTCAGCTCCATGTTGCAGTGTTAAAAAGCACTTCCGTGGTAGCTTCTGTTGAAGAACTAGTCTTCATCTGGCATGAAAACTGTCTTATTTCTTGATTCATCTAGACCAGAAAAAATAGCTATTGTTGGAAGAGTTAAAGGCTTTATGTAAGCCCAGAGAGAGAGAACCTTCATTTAAGAACCTTCGTTTCAGGTCTTATCTGTCATGTGAACCCAGCCCTGGGTACTTGTGGGCAGTGATTTTTATCTTTTACAAGAGGTTTCACATGCTTAGGCGAACAGTGCAGTTTATGCCTACAGTTTCAAATAGCATCCACACAGTCTTTCGCCTTTTAATTCATGTTAAAGAAAGGGGCAAGCAAAAATCCTGTCCATAGCGAATTCAAAGTTCATCCTAACGCTAAATTTCATGTTGATATGACTAGATGAAAATGAGGAATGCTGTGATGCTGTTCTGCCCAGCCTCGAGCTCTTCTCACTCACTTTGTTGTGTGGCTGTCTTTGGAAACTGCTTTGCTCAGCTCCTTGTGTGGAACATTCCTATCTAGTTTTTGAGTGTACCTCTGTGGATGCTTTGAGGATTTTATATCACAGTGTATGTTCTTCATGTGCAAAAGAAGAAGTTGGGACTTTTGTGATTACAAAGAATCACAACTGAAGTGTGTTTTAAATAGAATTTGTAATAGTGATTGTGTAAATTAATGGTTGGTAGGTACAGTTCTAATTGTATGACAAGAATTTCTCTTAGTCATTTTTTAACCACAAGGAAGTTGGTATGTCTGTGAAAACAAAATGTCAGATTATTCTAAAATTAAGGGAGACACTAAATAAAAACCTCATCTAGAAATGCAATTTTAATTAATTAAAGAAAATTTAAAAATCTTTATTATTATTTATTCTTTACCCAGCTTCAGTTTTTCATCCATTTCTTTGCCTCTTTCCTCAGTGTCCTTACTACTACTTCATCTGTAGTTCACCTGTCTAAATGACTTTGTCACCTTGTATTTGTAACATGCACTTCCTGTCATTTGTTGTGTTTTCTTAATCCTGTTTTTATGAGCATGTACATTAAAGATCAGGGTCTTGACGTCATGTTGCTCTGCCAGTTCTGTTCCCAATAATAGCTGTTACACATGACCAGTCTCAGCTGAGTTTGTCAACAACAATAGAGGTCTCAAAGGCATGAAATTCCTTTGTTTCCTGGGAAGGGGTGGCTGAACAGAGTGGGGAGGCACAAATTAATGCTTCCCTTGAGACAAAGGCTGCACGGAGGAACTATAGTCACTAGGGAATCTCTTCAAGGAACTGTTGTGGGGCATAATGCCTGTGAATCTTGCTGATCTTGGACCTTCTTGCCTCTCTTCCCTGTGTCTTGTATGCTTGAATTGTAATGTATATACACTAGACTTCGTAAAATGGGCTTTTTTAATGGTGAAGGCCTGTGAAAGCTCCTTTCTTGTCCTGGTAAATCAATCCATAGGTCCAGTTATGCAGCTTCTAGAAACAGGTTTGTGTAGCTTTAAGACTATAACAGCAACTCTTGGGCATTTCCAGTCACTACTGGTTGTGAGGCACTCCAAGTTTGCCTTGCCTCTTTTCCTTTCATGTTTTGTGTTGCACAGAAGGCCTGTGGTTGCATTCTATATAATATACTATAGTACAATATAGCAGGACTGACTATGCAGTAAATGATTTACAGGTCTAGGAGGGAAACCATGTGGCATTAGTGAAAAAAGCAGTTAAAGATTATTCCTCCTTCCTAAAGTGGTACCCAAATGTTAGTAGTATATTTTGGCTATTTGATCAGTCTGCACTCTGCACTTCCCCAGTCCAATGCATTCTGCATTTAGCTTGTCTGTCACAGAGATGGTTCCCTGTTCAGCACAGTTAGGAATGTTTCCATGCAGCTTGCAGGTACTGGTCAAGGCTTGCATTTCCCAGGGCACAAAAAAAAAAAAACAAACCCAAAACCAAAAACCAAACCAAAACAAAAAAAAACCCCAAAAACGAGAGACAGTATGGCCTGAAATTAATACTTTTTTTTCCAGACAGGGTATCTTCAAAAAAATAGAGGATGGGACAGGACTGGGAGAGAATTGCTCAGGATTCGTCTTTTAAAATTATTTTCCAGTATAATACACAGCCATTGCTAATATTCTGTTCTTAGCAATATTCTTCTTCTGTAGCAGAGACGTGGAACAAGCAGCTCTTGTCTGTGCACTGAGTGTTCCCAGTCATTTTTCCTTCCAGGAAAACCAGGAGGAAAAACTTGGTATTTATAGATTGTTTTGGTTTTGTTTTTAAGCACAGTGTTAAAATTTTAGTGTCTCTTTTTTTTGTTGTTTTCTTTCCCCCATTCCTTTTGGAATAATTCAAGATGAAGATGTCTCAAGAAGTTCAACTGGTTGAGAGTTATAGATGTAATTTGTCTCATTTTATAGATATGAATTGTCTGCTTTAGAAGATTTGCTTTATCAATAAGCCACCACGATTGTAACTTGTTGTCTGAAATCTCCAAAAGGTTTAGGAGGAGAAAAATAAAAAATTGGCAGTGCATATCACTCAACAGTACTTAAATCTGAGATTTTTACTTGATTACCTGCCTTTTTCATGGTGTTATAGCTTGTTAATAATCATTTTTCCTCTGTCTAAGCCCACATTGCCTACAGGTGGTAAATTCACCTTTGTTCAGTGACCTGGCTTGGCAGTTGAGTAGTGTTAACTGTTTGTCCTATCTCTCAGAGAACTGATTTCTCAATCCCCTGTCAGCAAAATAGCTGGCTGTTGTTAAAGAGCTATCAATGAAATATTTTTCAAGTTCTGCTTAAAAATTGGTGGCACAATATGGTCCAAGATCACCAACATGTAATGTTGACATGAGCTTGGAATAGCTGCCTTTACACAGGTATTGTCTGTTTTGCAAGTGATCCCACTGCCTTCTCAGAAGTGACTGTATGCTATTACTAAGGGTACTAGTCTTTCAGATTTGATATACCTTTAAATATTATTTTGGCTATAACCTTCTAAAGAGATATTATAAAATAAAAATACTCGTGTTATTTGCATGTATTAAAACAGTGCAAATATAATTTCAGAAAGCAGTCAGAGTACTTTTGATTTTATATTTTAAAATATGGTGCTGGTATATGAAGAGACATGAGATAGGTATTGAGTTAAACTTTATTATTAGGTTATATTGATCTGTCATTTTGGATAGCTGGGGATTTCAAGGTAAAATTCAAATATGTATGACTTTATAAATCAGCATTTACAAATGATACAATTAATTTTAAAAAATATTTTTTAATTGGTGGGATTTTTCAGCCCTGGAGACAAGTCTGTTAAATTAATACCATCTAATACAGTGAAGTGAAGATTATTTCAGGATTATCTTCCAATGTCCTTCCAACCTGATTCTCTTCTAGTCCTTAGAAATTGATAGCTCTGCAATATATAGCTATTCCTTGAGCCCTTTGTTGGTGCCCAAAATCTTGAATTCCACCTCACAAGAATTCTTATGTTAACAGTATTAAGATCTACATATCTGACTACAAGAGTATTGTTTATAATTGAGTTGATGCAGATTATTGATGAATATGTGATATGAAGACACAATCATTAGGTCAGAATCAATGTGCAGCATTTGAACTTCCAATTTGCTTTTGAAAGGTGGCTTCTACAGTAGGTGAGGATCAGCATTCACTGAATTTGAATTTCCAGTGTTTGGTTGAATGGGATGCTTTCACAGATCTTCATTACAAAGTCTGTCATTTTAAAAATAAAATTAGTTAATCAAATCAAGCACATTTGTTAACAGGAAAAGCAATTGCAGTTATGAAAAGAGCAGTTAGAGACTCCTTTTTAGTGTAATGGTACCAGAACCATCTAGTGCATATTTAACTTAAAGGCATCAAGCTTTGTTTTGTTACTGTGATGGGCAATGACCTAGTAATGAATACTTATTCTCTGCCTGTGGTCATTGTATTTGTCAGCATATATGTACTATGAAGTGGTGGTTTAAGTAGCTTTAATCCCTTCCACTCTTCTCCCTTACATTGAATGTCCTGGTCCTGTC